GGGTGGGGTTAAGTGCTCATCTTGGGGCTTAACTTTCACCCCAGTCCACTTAGCCGTTTGGTTGAGTGAAAACCTCGTGATATGGAGGTCGCGCGTTCGATCCTTGTGTGGTCGGCTCGTGGAGTCTATTTTCATGTGTGCCCACTGCCTGATGATACACCGAAAAAAAAAAAAACGAAGTTGGGTGAAGAAGAAGAAGAAGGCAATGAGAATGAGAAGAAGAAGAAGAAGAAGAAGAAGAAGAAGAAGAAAATTAGGGCGAACTTCACAATGGCCGACGAATTTCTGAAAAAAAAAAAAAGMAARAAAAGGGAGGAAGAAGAAAAAGAAGAAGAAATTTAGGGCAAACTTGACAATCTGCAATTTTTCGAAATGAGAAGAGTAGTAGAAGAAGAAGAAGAAGAAGAAGAAGAAAGAGAATTGGAAAATTAGGGCAAACTTGACAATGTGCGATTTTTCGAAATGAGAAGACTAGAAGAAGAAGAAGAAGATGAGGAAGAAGAGAAGAAGAAAATTAGGGCGAAGTTGAAGAAGAAAAAGAAGAAGAAGAAGAAGAAGAAGAAAAAGAAGAAGAAGAAGAAGAACAGGATGGAAGAAGAAGAAGAAGAAGAAGCTCTTCTCTCTCAGCCAGCGGCTGCCAATGTCTGTCACGCATACACTGACCAGTGGAGGCAGAAAGCGGCAGCCTTTCTTGAACGTCGCAGAGAACAACCTCGGAGTTGCAGCCTTGTCTCCCCCACCATGGCCAAGTCTCCCTGCTACGACCAAGCTGCCCACACTCTTCTCACCCTGCCTGAGCAATGCAGCTGCCCACACTCACGGCTGCCCACAAATGCCACGACGGTAGAATGGGAAGGGTGTGGGCAAGCACACTCTTTGTACTGCTGCCGACCAGGGAAAAGGCAGTGTCGACGGTCAGCGGCCTCCCAAGCCGTGCCCCGATCGGCCGACCCCCCAGTACCAGCCCAAAACACAAAAAACGGGCCTTTGGGGTGGGGGTGGCCGCCGCACAAAACTGCGCCAGGCGGACCCCGCTAATCGGTCGGCGCCGACGGCCAAAACGGTCGGCGGGTCGGCGGTCGACCGACCGAGATCCGCCGACGGTCGGCATGTGCAACCCTGCTAGACAGACAAAATAGATGCATGCATGATAGATTAGCATTTCATGATTATTATTTGCATGATTCTGCACTGTTTCGAATCAAAATAAGACCGAGGACCGGCGAAGTCGGACGCACACAATAGGAAGGGATTTGCTTTATTTAATTTATTTTATTTATTGCAATCGCATTCAAAATCCTGCGTGACAGCCTGTTGGCTTTCCGGTCGCCTGAAGCGGTCCGACTGGGAAAAGTGCGACAGTGGGCGCGTGGCCTACTCACATCGATTCGCAATGCAAACGTATGCAAGCGGTCGTGATGATGGCGTACTATATAGTACCCATACTCATGCGGTCCTCGTTAATCTCGAGGGTCGCATTTGACACTCGAGTGTCGGCTGACACGCGACTTTGATGGCTGCCACGGACTACAACGTCCAACTATAGAAACTCTAAAAAGCAAAAGGTAAAAGGGAAGCTCCCTTCTCTCTCAAAAGCGTAATCTGTTTAACACTTATGCGCGGTCATGGTAGGCCGCACGAAAACACTCAAACCATAAATATATACATATATGAATAAGGGTTATTAATATAGGACGATCACTTCTCACAGTCACAGTGGGACTTCTCTCAGCCATGTATATATGTATGTGAACGC